AAGAACCTGTAATTGTTTTCCATCCCTTGACAGATGTTACTTAAACTGACACACTATATCATGCAACAAAGCTCACAGGGGGAATACAGGATTATAAGAAAATGTATAAACCGCTATCTTTATTGTAAAAAAAATCTTTTATTCTTCACAGAAAGACAAAGAGAGGAGGGATTCCTTTTAGGAAGAACTTGATGCAGATTACTGTAATAATATTTTCAGGAATGCATCAGCACAATTGATCTACTTAAAAAAGAATGAAGTTAAAATGAAGGGAGAAGTTTGCACTGCATCCCAATCCCACACAATCTCTCTCTTTCTTTCCTGTCATTGTAGCATCTGGGAGACTTACCTGTTTCTTGAAGTGAAAACAAGAAGACTCTCTTCTGCTGCCTCTGCATGGACAAGTAAAAGCCGTGGGAAGGGGTGGAAATGGCTGTTGTTGAGAAATGGTAGGTGAAGAAATGAGCTTGCCTTGGCTGTGAATATTCTCATTTCACCTCGGAGGGAGGTTTACAGCTGTGGGACAGTTGCAGAGAGCATAAGTCTCCACCCCTCACCAGTTTTGCTTCTGGCTTTGACAGTTCCCTGCTTTCAGGGTGTGAGAAAGAGGGGCATAAAGAATAGGAGGGTCTCTGTGGTACCTCAGACCTTCTCCAAAGTAGCCTTTGGAGGTCAGCATTTTGGGTGTCAGTGCAAGGAAATAAGAAGCCCACAGGAAAGTAGGGTTTGGTATATGGTCTTACCAACCTGTACGACAGAGCAAGTGGACCACTCTTTTGAACCAAATGAAACTTTTAAAGCTTCACAAGTTTAATTCTGAGGTACAGTCCTCAACAGCCATGAAGTCTAGAAGTTGCAAGTGCATAGTTTGTCACAGCTAAGTTCCAGTCTTGGTGTAATGCAGCTAAGTTTCTTGCTCATCCATAGGTCCTTCAGTTTCCTCTACCTGATCCTTGGCATTATATTCAGTATGAAAACATCACAGCAGAGTCACTGAATAACCATAGTGGACAGACAGGGTGTAGCAGTAGACAGATGACAAAGATTTTTCCCCAAAGTCAATACTGATGTCCGGAGCATATTTTACTGATTTGGTTTTTAATGCATTGCTGATACCTTTTTAAAGGTTTAATATTGATTGATTTTTAATGGCATGAGTGTTCGATGCTAAAGAAGGAAAAGACCTCCCCTTGCTTACTTTTGGTGGAGGGAACGTCAGAAATGAAACAAGAAACAAAAAGGCATTATAACAGAAGATTTGGAAGTATTTAACGAAGAACCACAGAAACAAGTTAATATTTCTTTCTGTTTATTAAATTATGTGACGTTTCAGGCAAGAAGAGGAATCATTAATTAATGATTTAATAACTTAAACAAAGTTGCTCTCTGTTTGCCAGAACTTTAGAAAGCATTAACAGTATTAAGGCTCTATCTTGCCATTAATCTGTATGGATTTGACACTGATACCCTAAAGCAGAACCAAAAAAATGAAATATTCATCAATATTAAAATACCTCCAAGCATTTCCAGACTTTCGTATTTGGAAAGCCGCCACTACTCCCATTTCAACTGCCATACTGTGTCTGCTTTGGAGTGGCTACCTCTTGACATTTTGCAGAACAGCCTCTAATCATCTAAGGAAACTCTGGGCTGAGGTTAGTATCCACAGCAAAAAGAAATCTACAGACACTACTGTGTGTGAGTAATGCTGTGGGCGTTCATCCAAGCTCAGGAATGAGTGGAATGTACGCCTTCTCAAAGGTATGGGTGAAATAACATCACTGAAGTGGAAGTGGGGATTGGGTGGAACTGAAGAAAGAGAGAAGTTCACATGCGTGTTTTCCATGTATGTGAAAATGGCTGGCTGTACTAAAAAAAAATAAAAAATTAGGAGCCAGTATTTTAATTATTCAGTGCATTTATTTGCTTCTGATGGCATAAATAATCTATTGCCTTAGCGTGTCATACAAAAAGTCAAAGGAATATTTCCACTTCAAATCAAATGAAAAAAAATATTTGAAAAATCAACATAACGGTGGTTTTCTATGAATACATATAATGAATTTCTTTGTTTAATTAAACACTTCAGCAAACCAAATACCTGAATTTTAATTGCTGTTTATTATGGCTTCCCCTTGGATACAGGTGAAACGAGAATGGGTTAGCATGTGAAAGACTGCGTAGACATATGTTTCCCACATTGACTGGCATTACTAAGCAACCTGATGGAGAGCTGACAACACCTTGGCAAGCAGAGAACAATAAGGTAAATTATCAGCAATATTAAGAGAAACCAGTTCAGAGCCCCATCTGTACTCTGGCCTGCGACGTCTGCGGCTGTTATTTGGGAAAAAAACCACGAGAGCCTCCCTTTTTACCTTCGGCTTTTCCCCTGTATGTGTGGGTGTACGTGTGTGTTTATACGTGCATAAAGGCACGCAGACTTGTGCTCACACACATTTTTTTTTTGGTATCCGAGGTTCCATGATGCGTTTCCCACCGTGCCGAGGAGGAGAGGAACAGGAGGGGGAGCTCTCGCCGCAGCCGCCGGGCATGGATGCTCCGGGACAGGGATGCTCCTCCGGGAAGGGATGCTCCTCCGGGAAGGGATGCTCCCAGACAGGGATGCTCTCCCTGGCAGGGATGCTCCCCCGGGGCAGGGATGGCGGGTCCTCGGCCCCTTCCTCCAACAGGGCAGCACAACTGCTGCAGTAATGACCCCACTTGTCCCAATTTTGGGTGTGGAAAACCATCCCGTCATTTGTTTGTGCCATTTGTTTGCCGCCCCTGCCTTTTAAAACCTTTCCCTTCGAAGCCATGGTGCCCGCTTACATATTTACCAGCTGGAAAATCAAGCCTGCTTGTTTATCTCGTCCTCTCTGGTAGGCAATAATGAGAAGAAATAGCTCGATAATAATATTAAAGAGAGTTACACATTAATAAAGACTAAACTGAAGAACTTAAAGCGAAGTGTTGCTTTCATATTATCTAAAAAGCAACTCTGGTAAGCGGATAGGTGCCCTTTTAAAACATGTAAATACTAATAAATAGGAATATGAATAATGGAATACAAATTAAACCTGGGGTGATTTATTTTAGGCAACTCATTTGCACCTGTTGTTTTATGAACAATATTTGTTTTTCAGAGGTCCAAATTACTGCACTTACAAAAAACTCAAGAGCAAATTCAGAGCTGGAAATGCAAAGCTGTGATAGAGCAAAGATAGGGAGCTTGGCAAAGCACCTTGGGTGTAAAACACGGGCTTGGGCAATGGAAGGAAAAGCTCAGGTTCCTGCCATCACTCAAGATACAGCAGGGACCTGAACCTTAGTCTTGCAGGTGGCCTAGTAACCACCAAAAAATGCATCACGTGGCTATTTTCTTCCCAACTTTGAAAAAAAAACGATGAGCAAAGCAAAAGAAACCCAAGCCCAAACACTTCAACAGGTGAGGCAGTGAGTGCGTGGTTAGAGCATGTGCTCATCATGGGAAGCCTCATATGCAGCTCCTACTCCTTTTCGAGATGAGTTACAATAAGGAATATGAAGCTTTTTTTCCCCCTTTGACTGAAAAATCTTATTTTTGCTTGAATGAGAATGGAAACATATTTTGAAAACCCCACACTTTTTTTACTTTTTTTTTTTTTTTTTTTTTTTTAGAACATGGGATTCTTGGTTTCCAATGCACACTGTCTAATAAATTGATTTAAAATCACCTTGGAAATTTCACAAGGAATTTGGTCTCCTTAAGCTCAAATCTTCACTGACTTCTACAGGATCAGAATTTCATTTTGGGATGAAAACTGCTTACTGAAACAATGTACCCCTGTATCTGGTAGAACAAATGCGAGAAGCCCTGTTGATCCAATCAGGCACCCTTATTCACCTGTTTGCAGAATGTTTGCAGAATCTGTATAGAGCACTGCTGAACCAGGTTTCTTTACCAAAAATGCAGGTTTTCACACAAGGAATATGTGCTGTCACAGTTCAGCAAATGTATTTAATGTTAAGGTCTCTGCGATGTAAATACCAGATTTATTTTCTCATAACTTTTTGGAGACGTTCAGATCAATGCCATTGTATAACTGAGAAATTCATGGCTTCCATAGATTCTGATATTCTGCCTCCCCTTACGAGTTCACGAGCTACCATTAAAACCTGAAAATGTTCCTTTCCGCTAGTCATTCGCTCCCCAGTAACAAGTGGAATAATTAGACAGTTTCCAAAACTTATTTCGGTAGCTACGATGTGTGTCAGATGATAACGTCTGAGCACTCTAAATGCATGAACTTCTGTGTTGACAGTTGATGGTCCTCCATATGCTATCACTAGAAGAACAACTTCCCAAGAATATGTAGTATAATAATATGCAATATGTAAAGGTAATAACAGCTCTAGAAAAATAGGAATCGTGACAGATGCAGACATAATCTGCTGTCAGATGAAGAGATATTATTAGGACACAGAGAGGTAGAACTTTTGCATCCATCCAAAGCCTATATTAGATACCGAGAAAAACAGGATATGCTCTAAGACCATGGCTTTCATCTGGTGGGTGATGAGGTTCTGAGGTACTGTAGGCTGGTTTTAAGGAAGTAGCTCAGAAAAGTGAGCATAAATTCAGGGGGCATATATTCACATCTCCATTCAAAAGTATTTGGAGTGTGCAACCGGAAAAAAACCCAAACCTAACTGAAAGCCACTATTTTTGGTGATCAAAAAGTCAGGATCAGCATTCAGAATTGGTAGCAAGAGGAATGGGAAGAGCTCCAATTTACAACCTAACTTTCAGCCATTAGTCAGGAAAACTGGAATGACAGATTTGATCCTGAAGACATTCTTTTTGGTCTCCTCACTGTAACCTGCTGAAGACAATTGGCACCATTTAGGCTTCCAGATACACTCTCCAAAGTTTCTCCCAATAATAAAAAGATGCTGTCTACCTTGGGAGTTCAGGATTAATCGTTTTGTCAGATTATCAACTCAGTCTGTTAAATTTATGCAGTGAAACAGAGCTTTATTACAGCACATACAGTAAGTGTTGAGAAGTAGACTTCAGATGTTTCACTGAACAAGAACCATTTGAGGCAATTCTCGGAAGTTTAGCAGAAGTTCTAAGGTTTTTTATTAAACCTCTGCTATCAGCCCTTCAGAGAAACCAGTGATATATCCCTAATGCAAGCATTAATTTTGCCTTTTTCATTAGAATGGCTTCATGTACCAGCAAGGAGGTGGCGATTCAAAGCAGAATAGTTGTTTGAGGTTGGTTGGCTTTTTCCAGCCAAAGGTTTCAAAGAGCTCTGAGGCTACATGTGACTGTGTTTATAAGCAACTTCCCCTTGCGTTGCCTGCCTTATCCCTACTGTCTGAGAAAATACATTGAGACTCTGGGAATATCTCCGTACCAATTAGTTTTTAATAAAATACGATGAACAAAACATGGAGATGAGGTTGCTGCTGGCGGTGGTAGGGCACAGAAGGAGGGAAACCTCCCTACTAAACACCATCTTCTGGAGGTGACCCGTAGAGTCACAAGTTAGTTTCCCCAAGTTTCAGAACTCACTGTCTTTTAAAATATTACAGGCAAGGAAAAAAAAAAAAAAGAGAAAAAAATCTCGGTTCTTTCTCCTGCTTGCTGCTGGTGAGGCTGAGGGCAGACCTTGTGTTCCTGGTGGGGAGAACAGACCGAGCCCACGGCTGGTTCCTGCAGCTCCTGGCTGCCGGCAGAGCCTTCTCGAGGGTCTCCGTGAGGTCCCGCCGCTCTGCGAAAACAAACGCACATCAGATTTGCTTTTTTTTTCCCCCAACATCTGCCTGATTCTCGCAGGCAGGCAGGGGAGTGGCAGCACCTTGGCTTCACACCGGCCGTGACCTTAGCGCTGCGGATGGGCTCTGGGATTGCACAGGGCTGGGTGCTCTCTCTCCTTTTTGATGCTCGCTGCTCTCACGGCTAAGGCTGTGCAAAATTCCCAGTTCCTTCCTATTTTCAGTGCCACAGGGGAGAGAATATGCTCCGCGTCTCTAATCACTCTGCCATCTGAAAGCAGGCGACGCGAGGCTCATTTTAGTCACGAAAGGAGCAAAAGGAGTTCTGCTCAACTTTTCATGCCGAAAAATGTCAGTGATTTCAGCTGCAGAAACAGAGAATGTAAATTAGACATTGTTGCACGCAAAACGAACTTATCTCTGACAGGCTAAACAGAGATTTTCATGGGGAGCCTACTCATCCCCAACACGGAAGGCAGTTTATCTTTCAACAGCGGGGTTTCTTAAAAAAATAAATAAATAAAAAGTGTCATTTTAAGGTGTGCCGCAGCCATCCTGAGAAGCCCCGCACAATTCCCATTTTGACTAAGGGAACAATGGACACCCCCGTCCCCGTAAGCGTAGCGGATCGGGTAATTAAGCAGGAAAGCACAACCCAGGAATAATCAATGTATCCCCCGCAGCGTCTGCTGTA